TATACTTTCGCAATGTGTTAATATATTAATTATTTTTTCATTTATCTAATTTTTACACGTCATTGTGCTTGTTCAGTTATTCAGTACGAATCTTTTTTAAAAATCGTCAATATCCTACTTGCTAAATGTAATAAATTCTCTTACATTCTTAGAATCTGCTTTTTATATGATGATCACAATCAGTGAATATTTAAATAATTATTTTATATATTACAAATTGCTATTTTTATATGCCTGGCGTGTACTGTTTTTATATTTATTGAATGTTATCATAAAAATAAGAAATGTTTTTCAATTATAATGCTAGTGCATATTATCAAAAGTTTATTATTTATCTGTTAAAATATTTTTGAGTATGTACTTTTATATTTCACATTTAAATTTATATTTTATTGTTCGAAAATTAATTCTTATTTTATAGCAAACAATCCAATGAACTTAAGGAAATGTAAACATAAATCGGAATTATTAAATTTTCATGCCTAATACTAATTTTATTATATCCAGATGTAATATTAGTTTTAATGTGATTGTATCACAAAAATAATTTTGATTCAAATTTATATACAGTAATGTAGATATTTTTATAGACAAATCTATTGTTAAAATAAACAATGAGATATAATTGTAACAAAATGCTTGTTAATCATCATTTATTTATAAATGTGAACGTTTTGTTCAGGAAAGTTGTAATCAAAATAAATCTATTATAGATGTATAGTTTTGAAGGAGATTTTCGTAGAAGACCACAACAAAATTTAGCTGGTGCTAGTGCTCATGGGTGATCGGCTTGCTTTGATAGAAAGAGCACACCAAGAGAGACAAAGACGGGAAGATTATAGAAAACGAACACATAGTGCTGTGTAATTCAAAGCTTTTTTCGAAGTTATGTAGCACGACAGCATGCAAAAATATACAGCGGGCTATTATTTGATGAATGTTCAAAACAAAATCCAATTTTTCTCAAGATATATTAACTAAACAAATTGCTCGACTGATATTTTTTTTATAATAAAAAATATGACCTCAACAGACTTGTAAGTAGTTATTAAAATATCTAATTACTAATATCATTTTATAGTAACATGTTGATTGATTCAATATGTATGTCAGATAATGTTTGTAAATAATTTGCAATGCAATACATAGAAAATCTTAAATATTAACATTTTATTATAATTTTAATTTTATTTTATTATATTATTATTTATTTATATAATTCAGATTACTATTCACAATTTCTAATCAAGTCCCAATAATATATGTTTGTGGAAGCTATAAAATGTAAATCTTATGCTTGGAGATAAAAAAAATATTGATATTATGTTTGAAACAAATTATGAAAGACGGAAGTCAAATACAACTATGCCTTTACGAGTATTAGAAGTGTTTTACTGAACTCAGAGCACCTCACTGCACTGAAGAAGAATCTGATTTATATTGTAAAATAATTTTTCATCCGTGCAAAATGGTGAGATATTTTAAGCAATTTTAACTCAAATACATTTATAAACAGTTATTTTATATTAAATTATGAAATATTCTAGGATTATTTTTCAAGTATGAGAACGTTGTTAGAAGCTAGAATACCACCTTAATGGAAAGAAGTCCAGAAACCACCCAACCCAACTGCTTTAGCATATTAAATCTTATTATCAGGCCTCTAGAAGCTGTTAAATATTCAAATCAATTATTTTTTATGTAAGTTGTCTTGCATTCTTTCTGATATTTACTCTGTCATCACAATTTCTTCATTAATTGTGTATAAGGTTTGTTTTTTAGATCTGCTATTTATATTTTTTAGTGACACTGTAATGCAAAAGCTGTGCGAAGAAATACTAGGAACAGAATTTCAGAACCAATAAGTTTCTTTCTAATACCGGCACTTTCATCGGAATTGACTTATAAAAATTCTTTTCCATATGCTCAGTTGGTTTCATATTTAAGTAGAGAGCATAAATTTTAACAACATCCTGGATGTTGTACTCATTTTTATCTTTAGAACCTGAAAATCTAAGTGAGTATTAATTTAGAGTATATATCTCTTATATTTTGATTGTATTTAGTTATCATAGTTATATTATCATTTTGATATTATATTTTCAGATTTGAATTCCATTGGTCTACATGCTTCAAATTATTTGGATATTTTGTCTAGATTATCTATTAACTTATCTTGGAAATGCTGTGACGATGACTGTGACGATGATGTTGATATGGAGGAAGATGATGAAAACTGTCTTGGTTATAAGTAAGTATATTTTTATTAATGATCATTTTATTACATTAAACAGAAATATATATAGTATTACTGAAGTTGTATCACTAGTTCACCGAGTGCATAACATTACATTAACTTACATTGTGACAAATTCAGATTTATTTTTATATGTATTTTTTTAACATTTTTAGGCCATCTCCTCAAGAATCAGAAATTTTACAGCAGTGCAGAATTCTAATAAATGAAGGAAAATAGAGTAAAAAGGTTATTAGAATATGTGATCATGAAGATGATGAGATCGTTATTCAATCAATATGTCGACTTTGTCATTTTCTTTTAATTTGTGATGATTCCGCTATTCAAAATATAAGTAAGTAAACAAAATGTGTGTGGAGTAAATAAGTATTTTTATCTATAAAGTGTATTTGAAATTATTTACTGAAACATTCATATGATATTAGATTATTATATACATTGGCATTTCGTGCAAAGTTCTTGCGTCGTGTGTGGACATATGCTCAAGTATTACAACTAGAATAGTTGGTCTGGTAATAAATGTTCTCTTCTAATGATGTTATCTCGGGGGAATAGCAATGTCTGGAGAAGACACAGATTTGATTGTGCCCCTTTAACCGTTATTCTGTGAGCTGTTCAGTTATTAATAACTACTTTACATGATGGAGAATTTGCATCTGGTGAATCTATTCCCTTCACTTTACATGAGTTGGTACCAGTAATAAGCATCCTTAAAGATGTATGTCTGGGATTAGTAGAATTGGCCTTTCCAGATAGCAGACTTGCCATACCGCAGGACTATCAACTAGCAGTTCGATCAAGAGAAATGATTCACGGACAGAAAACTCTAAATTGGATACATCTTTTCAAAGTGATTATATTTTATTACTTTTGTATATTTGTACATAATAGAAACATGGCAATATGGTAAATTGTGTTTTAGGTTTCTGTACATTTGTTAAGACAACTTCACATGCGCGACCTAAGAATGTCTTTTTGCCCACCCTCGCTGTGGATCGCAAGCGATGGGCGCATGTGTTTGTCCGTAGAGCGGCCCAGCGATATACAATTAAAGCAAGCTAGGCGTGGCTACCGCCCTTTTAGAGGAATCAGGACGATTACCAGGGATCAGATAGGTTAGAATAGCACACAATAGTTTGCGCTGGTAAACATAAGATAATATATGTAAAATGGCAAACTTAATCATTGCATCTGTTTATTATTAATACATTTAGTGCTTAAAAAATTTTCTATATCAAATTATAGTTGATTACATTAGCTTTGACTTGTGTTTTATAGATATTGGACCTCCCGCTAGCGTAAAAGAAGTTCGATTTTTAACTGCTTTGAGGGAATTACCTTTTGCGCTACCTTTTGCTGATCGAGTTCGAGTTTTGCAAGGTTTGCTGAATGCTGAGCGTTCTGTGCAACATGGTGATGCTCAGGACTTTTTACGAGGGCCAGCAATTTCAATTAAATTACGTCGTTCACATTTATATGAAGATGCTTTTGATAAATTGTCAATTCAAAATGGTTAGTATTAATATAGTTTAGTTTATGGAGTAGTAAAAATTTCATAACAGATAATTATGTCACTGTTTTAACT